GGGGGGGGCGTGGTGACGTCACGGCCCCGCCCGCCGGCCGAGAGCGAGAGAGCGTGCGCGGGCACTGCGGAGGAGCTGGGGGTCCCGCCCTCCTGCGGCGCCCCGCCTCCCCGCACCCGCTTATCGAGGGGGGCGGGGGGGCCCTTCCAGGCGGGGCCCCTCCCAGGGTGGCATCATCCCTCGCCGGGAAGAGGCGGAGGCAACGCCGGAACGGGGTGCGGGGCGCGGGGCCCGGGGAGGTGGCCGTGCATGGTGCGGGGACGGGGCGGCGCGCCCACCCGCGCGGGCCACGCAGAGGGCAGAGGGCCCTCCCGGCCCGATCCCTCCCTCCAAAGATGAGCTGGAACCGCAGCTCCGGAGTGATTGGCTGGTCCTTGCCGTCGTCGCTCTCCATGGCAACCGCCTCCTGTCTCCTTGGCAACCAAGGATGGAGCCGGGAGAGCGCAGCGGGAAAGGCGGCCTCACAAGAGCCCCTGGGCTGAGCTGGGTCCCTGGGTCTCCCCGGAGCTCGTGGATCTGCCCTCACCCAGTTCCTTCGCCTCCCAGTTCTCTAAGAAAGGGAAGGAAACCGGGAAGAAACGCCTCCCTCCATCTCTGGCAGCCGCTCTGCCACTCCTCCTCGGATAGTGAAGCCGCCCCTAGGCCTTGCTGAATCGCGCTATTGCTTCCACACAGGCCTCTGCACCCGGCACGGGCCCCCTCTTCCTGGTGCCAGGCACCGGGAGACGGATGAAGGACACATTGTCATGTCTCTGAGCTGGTGGGGGGTCAGAGCAGCCACTGTGGCAGGCAGGGAGGGAGCCTCCAGTCCCCGCCTTCTGCTCCCACCCTCTCAGGAAGCCCGGGCCTGCCCGGCCCTGCCTGCACCTCCCTTCACCCTGCGCTCCAGGCGGTGACCTTTTACCCGCAACCTAAATCCAGGATCTGCCCCAAACTGGCCACTGGGCTGGCAGGACACCGTCCACCTTTGCACCCCCAGTGGATCTTCCTCCTCCTTCCTTCACACTCCCCACCCAAGCACCCTAGGTTGTCACCTCCCTTTGACCTTCACGCCTGGAGCTGAGCTCCCGCCACACGGCCGCCGGCCGCCTACCACCTCTTCAACATCCACGCTTTTCAGAGACCAAGTGCCCTTTAGCGGGTCTAGACAAGATGGCGTGGGCTGGGCCTTTCCTTCCTTCTAAGGACGACCACGAATGCCGGCAATGAGAGAGAACCAAAATACAACTCACAGGTGCAGAGACAGTGGGAAGCGGGAGAGGGAGCAGGGGAAGAGCAGAGCTGAGGGACCCTGTGACCCCCCCAACCGAAGGAGACCCAGGCCCGCTGTTCCCTGGTCCAAGCCTTCCCGGAGGAGGAAGACCCCTTGCTCCCCTACTGGACAGGGGCTGTGACTCCACCCGCCAGCCCGGCAGAACCAGCCAGGCTGAAGGGATGCAGGCATCCTCCGTCCCTGACCCCACCGTGCAGCTCCGGGAGTGGGGCAGTGGCAAGGGAGGTCCCCCTCCGAGAAGGAGCTAGCCCTCAGAAGGAAGGAAAAACTGTCTTGGGCGAGTCCTGAGTTGGAGCCGGGCCGTCTGCTTTCCAGTTACCCGTGAGGCCTCCGGCTCTGACCCTCGCTGGCAGCCCGGCCTCCTGGCCTCCCAGGGCGTCATCTGGAGTGGCAGAGCCAGGCTGGGGCCTTCCCTCTGACACCTCGTGTTCCGAGCTGCCCGGCCAGAGCCCCTGTGGGACGCCTGGTGGGGAGCAAACCTTGTGAAGCCGACATGACCCGGCCAGGAGGGAAGGACAGGCGGGGCTGAGGAGGACTCAGGTGGGGCAGATGGGGTTCCTGTGACTTGGGAGGGGCCTGGTGCCCTGGCAGGTGGGATGCTGGGGTCAAGGGGCGGATGCGGGTGGAGCTGACACTACCTGGGATAAGGTCTGAGTGCTGTGGGACAGCAGCATCCTAGGAATGACAGCGGGAGCCGGCCGAGCCCGCTTTAAGGAAGGGCCAGGGAGCCAGCCCAGGCCCTGCCTGGGACAGTGGTTTTCAGCACTTCGTGGTTCTTGCCAGAATAACAGCCAACCAAGATGAAACATGACAAGGCCTAACAAAGTTGTTTGGATTTGGTCTTTGCTTGGGAGCACTGGGGACAATTTTAAAAATGCCTGTAACCCCAGGACTCTGGAAGGCTGAGGCAGGTTGACCAAGTTCCAGCCCAGCCTGCGTAAGTTCGCAATTTAGACTCTGTCTCAAAATGAAAAAAGGAGGGGGCTATAGCTCAGTGTGAAGACCCTGGGTTCAATCCCCAGTAACATGCACGCACACACACCAAAACAAACTTCCTTTTTATTAAGGAAGTTTTCACATACGCACAAAACTGTGGGAAAGTGGAAAAAAACCAAATACAATTATGATGGCTCGAACGGCGCCCCATTAGGGAGCTCTCTGAGGGCTGCTGTGTTTCAACCAAGTGGCCACGCCTAGCTGCATTTATGGTGGTTTAAGGCGCACCTCAAACTGACACTGAAAATATGTTGACGTTACCAACTACAAAGCCCCTTTCATGTTTAAAGGGTGTGGAAATTCAGGTTTGCAAGTGAGAAGCTCTGGAGGTGGACTGCACGGCAGGGTGCATGCAGCACTGCTGAGCTCTATGCTTAAAAATGGGCAAGGTGGGTGCCAGGTGTGGTGGCACATCCCTGTAATCCCTACACTTGGGAGGCTGAGGCAGGAGGATCTCCGTAAATTTGAGACCAGCCTGGGTTACATAGTTCAAGACCAGCCTGGACTACATAGTTCAAGACCAGCCTGGACTACATAGTGAGACCCTATCTCAAAAAAACAAAATAAAGTGGGTGAGGGCAAGACAGGCTGAGCTTTGCCAGGTACTGACGGGCTGAGGGGAATGACTGCAAATTTAAGCCCAGCCTGCGTAATTT